GGCCTAGTGTGTGTGAAGGCAGCATGTGCTGTCCCGGACCCTTTTAGATGTCCATCTACAACGGTTTGTCATCATTTCCTCTGTGTTTTGCTACCTCAACACTAATAATTACTTACAGAGGAAACAGATAACCTTCATTGAATCTGCTTCTTAAAGTTCAAGTTACTTAGAATTTCTTACGGCTGGAAATTTTTGCCATCATGTGAATGCACAAGAATGACAATTATCTTGAAAGCGAGCTTCTTGTAACTTTTAGCATTAAAAATATTGATATATGACCTCCCAACACCATCACCATTGTTTAGTTATGCTGGGAGTCAAACCCAGAACCTCTGCATGTGCTAGGCAAGTCTTCTAACTTTGAGCTGTGCACCCAGCCCTAACCCCATCATCCCATGTTATTAAAAATTTTTGTGTTACAAGGATGATTCTGCAAAGTCCATGTGCTGTCTTTGTAAGCAGTTCAAAAATAGCCCAGCCTGTAGTTTGTAGCCTTGGTTCCATTTAAGGAGCATGAAGTCAAATAAGGTACTCGTTACTATTCACATAGACTTGTTTCTTGGACACCACTTATGTTTTCCTTTTTTTATGGGCAGAGGACAGAATCATGTGCACAACCAAGTGTGCTCATCTTCACCTCTCTGAGCATTTGGCCATGGAACTGGAGCTAGGTGTTCCTTTGTGCTGTTGGCTTCCCTTTCTGGCATGCCGCCTGGGCAGTGGGAGCCAGCCAGTGGCTCACTCAGCTTTATGGCCCCATTGCCGAAAGGTGGAAGGTCCCAAGCATCACTGGATGTCCAAAAGCTGGAAAGCTTTTTTGTTTTTTTTTCTGGATAGCTACTCACAGCTATAATTGTCAATCATGGGATGAAAAATGCAAATTCTTAGACTCCCTTCACACTTGTGGTTTTACATGAAACAACTTGAACAGTAAAAACAATTTAATTAAAGATTGTGAGGATAGTTAATAAAAACCTAGGGAGGGTGAGAATCAGGTGCAGCAATAACAACATCCAGTTGACCAAGGTGTGAGGACCTTCTCTCCAGCCTCACTATTTTTCTTCTTTCTCTCAATTCCTTCAGGTAAGCTTCCCCACATAGCTGTAAAAAGCTTCCATGTCCCACATTTTGCCCCTGAAGGAGGACTAGCTTGATATATTCCAAGGCCCATTTCCTAAGCAAGGCTCACCATTGGATACAACTCATTTGATATAACAGGATAATCCCTCGGGATAGATACTCCTTGGTAGCTTAAATTGAATATAAGTCCATGCAAGGCAGATACAGTATACATATATAATATACTCCCGTGTGAGCAGGTCTTAATTATTGTTTTGTTTTGTTCATTTGAGATAAAGTCTCTCTTGTCTCAAATTTGCAATCCTCTTATGTCAGCTTCTTTAGTGCTGAGGTTGCAGGTATGTATCATCATGCCTGATTACAAACTTTTAATTTCTTATCCTCAAGATATGCTTCTTTATGCTTATTTGAGGTTTGAAAATCTGGTTGTCAATGTCAATCCACAGATGAACTGTCCTGATGTCATAATATAATTTAGAGGTGTCTTCTCTTGACCCAGACAACTGTCTAAGTATAAACACCCTACTTACATCATTGGGGCTGGCTGTGTCTGAGATGATGTATCGTCCAAGCATCTAATTTTTCATTCCAGTGTTTTACCAAAGCTGCAGTAAAGGCTTGGTAATCTGTGGCCTGAATCTTTTCCCAAGGTTCTCCTAGGAATGTAGCATGGGTAATAAAGTAGAAGATCTTTCTTTGCCCTTTCCCCCCCTACAGCGAGAAGTGTATTGAGTTTCATCTGTGTTTGCATTCTCTTAGCTACTCTAGCTATAGCTCCAGACTTCGGTTTCAGGACAAGGTCTACAGGGAGCGAATGCACAAGACCCCTGGTAATCCTTTGAAGGACCTTTTGGCAGAGTGATCCTTCAAGATGGATACTGGTACAGATGCAAATAAGAGCAACGGAGGGATGTCTCGTTTGTCTGAAGGATGGAGTAAAACTTAGAAGTCTGGCTGTGTGTGACATGTCATGTTCAGAGTGCAGGAGTGAGGGACAAAGCTGATGCTCCTATCCAGGCAAAGACCTATGCTCCATCTCTTCCCACGGCACCAAGGAGAGCAGGCAGTGGAGGAGTCGAGCACACTCTAGTATGTATTTTGTGTTCTTGATGATTCCTTGAGTGTGAAAAAGACTAAGCAGGCAGTCAGTGACAAAGCCCAGGTGTCTGGCTTCACCTGTGTGCACAGTCTACAGGTGTAGTGACCCCATGTGCAGTTCCTGTTCTTGGTCCTCGTCATCCCATGCAGAGATGGAGCTCATCCTCTTCATGCTGTTGCTTCTTCTTGCTGGACCATCTTGTTTCTATCGGGAGGCTTAATAGAGCAACAGATTAGGGATTTCTCCTTCATTCATTAGGGCTAAAGAGTCCTTGATCGCTACTATCTGCATCAGCCCACATTGTCTTGAAAGTTTCTAAGAATTCTTAACATTACATACACATATGAGCATATGTCAGATCATGTGTTTGAATTAGAAGGATTACTGATTTTTATATCAATTTTTAAACCTATAGCTCACTTCTATATAAGATCTAACAGAAAGGATTTGATATTTTGTCTATATCTTGAAATTTTGACTACAGGAGAAATAACCCATAGAATGGGTGAGGTTTCTGCTACTCCTGTCTAAAATTCCCCTTTCTGGAGAAGTGGCCTGGGATAGAACAGGCATCTAGATTCTTACCTCATAAAACAGCATGAGATTACTGTTATCCCTTAATTTTATATCTTTATTATAAGGTAATTCTTTTCTTACTTGGTTCAAGGACTGTTCTCATTTTTTTCTTGTGTATTTGTGAAAACTAAATGTTAGAGGATTTAGTGTAACAACCGTTGGTAAATTATGATGTAAAACCATACTGTGTCTGCAATTAGCCAAGGGACTTCAGTGTGGTTCAACAATATAAAATCACTGGGCTCATAATATTTTAGGACATGAGTGAGTTTGGCAAAGAACAAAAATTATGTAAGCATTAAAACTCACGCAAAGTAGCAATCTAGATTTCAAGGAAATATAAAGCAAGGCATTATGTTGTGACACGGAACATCTACAAAAATCACTCCCCAACTGAATATTAAGTTGGTTCTAAACTGGTCATGAACCTAAAACAATGGGAAGTTTTAGTTTAGTCTTCATATACACCAGTGTGTCAGTACTAAAGCCTTAGCTTTAATTTTGTTCACAGATCCTGTGAGTGGTGTAGTTGTAGAGGAAATTTTGGAGAGACACACACAGACTCACACGTACGGCATTGAAAGAAAATGGCAAAGAGTATGAGAGCCCATGTGGTAATGAGGTGGACACTGAATGGATGTGTCTGTAAGCCACAGAATGCTAACAATTGTTGAAACCACCGGGAGGCTGGGGTTTGGGGAGTCTCTCTCTCTCTCTCTCTCTCTCTCTCTCTCTCTCTCTCTCTCTCTCTCTCTCTCTCTCTCTCTCTCTCTCTCTCTCTCTGTGTTTCTATAACCTCATAAGGACCATAGGTCTGGTTTAGGACTTTTGGTTCATAAAATGTTTCAGAATAAATTGCTTCTCTACATTACCCAACTCATGGTCCTTGCTACTACAGTCTGAGAAATTTGGCACAACATATTGGTTTGAAACTAGATTCATTTGACTGGAATCAATGATACTTTTCCTGGGAGCATGTTTTATGAAGAGTTTACATGAGTAGAGAATTATTGGCTAACTTTCAATACTGAGTTTTATGAATAGTTAAAACATTCCACTTAGTAATGTTTCTTTCTGCATTCCTGTTTTATTGTCCTAACACAAAGCAAGATTCTCAAAAACTAGAATGAAACAGACTCTTCCCCAAAGAGCCGGGTATATGAAACTACATTTTCAACATCATCTATTTCCTCCCATTATTTTGTTAGCATCATCAGGTACCTCCTGAGGGCTTCATTTGTCATTGATCTATTCAACATATGAAACACTGAGCTAGATGCTGTGGGTAACTCACAGGAAGACAAACCTTGTCTTTCCTTAAAGAGGTCACTCTGGCATCAAAAGTTAATGTTATAATAAGCCATGGAAGCCTTGGAGAGTCTGTTTCTAAAAATCAGTTTTCAAAATGTGCTGTACTTCAAATTGTTCTTATAAAACCATTTAATTTTTTTTGCTTTACTTGGTCTTGCGTACTCATTCAACAGAAGAAAGATGAGAATTAGGGAGAGCACTTGGCTTTTTGGTGTTGTCTTATATTGTTGCTGTTATAAAAATCTTCCTGTATTTGGGAACTCTAAATATATGTCTGCTTGGCTGGGGGAAATATGTCATATGGTTTGGCATAATGACAATTAAAAGATTATCTTTTGAGTAATTAACTGAATGTGCCACTGTAGTTTATTCCATACTTCTCCTCCTACTTAATCTGTCTTAAAATAACTATTTTCTCATCTCTTAAGAACTCTGTATTTTGAAACAGTATCTTTTTGCAACTCTCAGGAGCAAACCTAGGGTTTAGTCATCAGCACCAAAATCAGCTCTTAAGAAAATGATCACCTGGTAATTTAGACACATTTTCTCATTCTGAAAACAACACTAAAATGCACTGTACTTTCTCAGTTTATGTTATGCAGTAGTGATTAATACTGTTACTATTTTTTGTCTAATCAAACAGTACATTAGTTGTTTTTTGCAACCACTAACTCCAAAGTTGTCCTGAACTCTTTTCCTTCAACTGAAAGATCCTGAGAAGCTTTTCCCATATAGCAGTTCCACCATGATGTTTATAAGATCATTATTTAAGTCATGGAAATAAAATTAACAACTCATTACTTTCATCACAAAGTTCACCTACATCCTCTATACTGCCAACTGTGTTGCTAAATCTTATTGTGTTTGATGAGTCTGCAAATGAATAAAAACAATCTTTCCTTTTTCTGTGTCCACCTTTTTTTTTTGGTTTTAGATAGTCAATCTTGAATACAAGGAAGCTGCTTCTACGTGGGAGTGGCAAGAGAAGTGAGGGAACCACATGGAAGACACCCAGGACCTAAATGAGCAATCAGTAAGTCTTAATTTAACCTCAGCTCTGCTTTAAAAAGAGATGGTAAGACCACTCTCAAAATATTCTTAGAAATGAATCTATTGTCTGCAGTAAGGTTTGGAGTTAAATATATTTTGTTGATTTTTGAATTCTCTTGTAAGACCATAAAATAGGCCTTTGGCAATGTGTGTTGTTCCTGCTTAATGATGATGTCACATTTTGATGTCTCCCTTGATGCTCCACTTGGAGAGGCTGAGGTTGGAAGACTAGGGTGTTGAAATCATGCTGTGTGTTTAGACAGTTTGAGCAATTTTATGCACTTCCTTTGTTATGTTTCGTTCCAAAAATGCTGCATGGCTTATATATTGTTGGCTATCGGAAGCATAACAGGAGAAAGGATATTATTAGCATGCCGACTGCTCATCTCATGGATGAAAACCACGGTCCTCAAGGGCTTTCCTTATTTTACTAGATTTATCAGGACAGGAATGTGGCAGCTTGGTAACAATCCCATTATGATTCCGTCTTCCTCTAGGGAGACGCTTGATCTGGCTTCTCCCCTTGCTTCATTAGTAGGAGCTCAGTGACATTAATACTTTATTGTGTGCCACCAGGGGCATAGCCTGCTGGAGACTGCCGCCCTAGTCGTTCTGCACACAGGCAACTAGTTAGGTCACAGGGAAGAAGACATGGATAGCACCAAGAACATGTTCCACAGGCAGAGCTAGTCCTCCTTAGCTTGTACAACCATGTTTGACCTTAAAGTCTAAGGTTTCCCAGGGACAGTTGAGGACAAGAAGCTTGTGTATAACTGTGTAGCAGTAGAAAAGATGCATGCAGTGCATTTCAGATTAAAATAAAAAAAAGCAATGTATATTTTGGTAAAAAGCTGCTATTCTCAACTGATGTAATTTGTATTCTAGGTGATAATTAAAACATACATACATATTGATGTTTTAAATTTTTTAAGTAGAGATTATCTTAGTGTGATTTCATTATATAATTATAACACTACTCATTTCCTATAGCATCATAAGAAACACATGAAGAGCAATCAATCACAATTCTGTGAAACTTGCAATCAACCAGTAGACATGGGAGTCTTGGAAACCCTGACTTCATAGACAAAACTGACAATGACAAGCAAGGACTTTAAAACAGTCTTCAAAAGTGCTGGTTACTGAATTTAAATATGCACATTAGAACTCTGTCTAGTGAGTGGATTCAGGGCCTCACGATGTCTGTCTCTCTCTCACATGCTTTGTATGTTTGTGCCTCTTGCTGGGATCAGATTTCTGTGAGAGTGGTCTTGTGCCTGTAGGTCAGCAGTGAGTGATGCCTTCACCTGAAGCTTCGAAATGTACATTGTTTTAACATTCTGAGATTCACTTAGAAGTGTGTGTGTGTGTGTGTGTGTGTGAGAGAGAGAGAGAGAGAGAGAGAGAGAGAGAGAGAGAGAGAGAGAGAGAGAGAGAGAGAGAGAGAGGTCCAATGTTCACATATTTTTGGGGATTGAGGAGTTAGAATTTGCAGAGCACAAAAGCATTAAAGATGGAAGAGAGAAGCTGGATGACTCATTCATCAGTTACTCTAGGGAATGTATACACACAAGAAAGATTATTTGCTTTATTTTCTAATACTTTTAAATAAAAATATGTGATTACATAATTTTCTATTTCCCTTTCCTCCTTCTCACCCTTCCCATGCACCCACTTACTCTTTTCCAAGTTCATGACCTTTTAAAAATGTTGATATATAGATGTAATATATAGAAATACAACAGAATATCTGCTTTGATGCATTTAAAGCTAAGGACAACATACATCCACACTTTACATAAGGCTAAGGTGTTACTGAAGGTTTTAGATCGCCTTTGAGGGAACAATGCCCAGAATTTATGAATTGTGTTTATAATATCACTGGTTTCCTTTCACTGATATTTCAGGGTTGACACCTTTTAACCGATTTTTTAAAGTTCTCAAGATGCTATTGTGTGGCCAGGTGTAGAAATTAAATATCTAGAGTGATCTGCATAGCTTCTGGAATGACTTTATTTTCTGAGCTTAAACTTTGTACACATAGACCAGTTTATTCATCTCAAAAGTGTGCAGATGAATACAGAGAAGTGATAATGAGTTCTCAGGCTGTTGTGGCTGTATCCTGCAAACTTGAAACTTCTGGGTGGTCTTTTGACTCCATCTTCATGACTTTCTTTCTCATTCCACTATGTCTGAAAATGGGACAGTTCAGCCAGGCGTTGGTGGCACAAGTCTTTAATCCCAGCACTCAGGTGGCAGAGGCAGAGGCAGAGGCAGAGGCAGAGGCAGAGGCAGAGGCAGAGGCAGAGGCAGAGGCAGAGGCAGAGGCAGAGGCAGAGGCAGAGGCAGAGGCAGAGGCAGAGGCAGAGGCAGAGGCAGAGGCAGAGGCAGGCCGATCTCTGTGAGATCAAGGCCAGCCTGGTCTACAGAGTGAGTTCCAGGAGAGCCTCCAAAACAATACAGAGAAACCCTTTCTCGAAAAACAAAAAAACAAAAAGACAAAAAAAAAAGAAGAAAAGAAAATGGGACAGTTCACATTGTGCTATCCATCATTATGGATGAGTCAAAAAAACTAAAAACCGTCCCCTTTCCTATAAAATAACTCATACTTGAATTAAGACCTTAAACAACCTTAAATCTTGTATAATGCATTAATTTCCCAAAACTTTTAAAAAGTATAGCATTTATTAAAATATAGAATAAATGTTATGGCATTGCAGTTCGTAAGATGAAAATCTTGAACATGGATATAATAGTGTGATTTATGATTCACGCATGCACCTTCCAGCATTTTCCATATATTCCTCTTGTTCTTCACCATATTCTTGCAATATAAACCTAAAGGCTACCATTTCACAGATGGAGACATCACTCAGACAGTGTTCAGATCAAATGGCCATCAAGGACTAGAGATTACAATTGAACATACATTCATCTTGCTCTAAAAATTTGTAATGTATTTTTCATGATACAATATAGTATTGGTAGTTAAAGGCTTGAGCTGTAGGGTCAGATATCACTGGTGAATACTTTATAAACATTGAGAAATCACTTAGATTCATCCTCATCTGCAGAGTGGGGAGAATGATGTAAACACGAGACATGATGTGCTAATGTGTGCTTCATTGAGCATTCATTAAAATTAAAACCTGCTCTAAATAACTTGAGGACTATACAAGATGGCCCAATCAGTAAAATGCCTGCTACACAAATATAAGGACCTGAGTTCAGATGCCCAGAACACACATAAAAAGCTGGTGTGGTCGCATGTATTTATAACTCCGTTGTTAAGGATGCAGAGATGGGTTGATACACGGAGCACACTGGCTAGCCAGTCTAGCCAGTTAGTAAACTCTATACAGTCTGAGAGACTGTCGCAAAGGATGGTGGAGAGCAATAGAGTAAGACATCCACTGACATCAACTTCTGCCCTCGAGAGGTACACTCACATCTATACACATGTACATGCATGCATATATACATAGACATGCATATCCATATACAGTACAACACACACACACACACACACACACACACACTCTGCTTGTGACAGGAAATCTTCAATAGATATTCCTTCTTTCTTGCCTAGCCAGATCCTTTCTGGACTTTCCTACCTAGAGGTTTACAATTCCACAAACCCAGCAGATGGAAACTGACCTCACCAATCGTCCTGTCCCTCCGGTTTCCTCCTTCTCCACTCCACTGCATCATCTCCAGCTTCTGTGAACGCTGTCATCATCACCACCTCAACAGCTGAAGTAAAACAGCAACAGCAGCAAACAGAGAACCATCCTCCCCCGCTCCATCCTAGCTGTCCTGACTTTTTCTCACTGGAAGCCATTCTCCATGCTTCCATTCCCTAACGCTGAGTTTTTCTTTTTTTAAACTCTTTACTACCTTGTCCTGCTTCCAGTTGCTTCTCTTCCCAAATCACATGCCCAATGGTTACACTATTGCTCCTCATCTTATCTTGCAATAGCTCCTTCTTGCCCTGCAGAGAAAGGACCATGTATGGTCCAGCATAAGAGACTAAATATTAATTATTTCCTCAGCCTCTTTTCTCATTTCTGCTGGTTTCCGGAAATTCCTAGATCTGGGGTCTCTACTCACTTGTCAGTGTGATACAGGCCCTCTTCTACTAGAGTACTCTGATGTTCTTGTAGAACCATTGGGCGCTCGTTAATCCTGAGAAACCCTCTCAAGCTTAGTTTCTCTTCTCTACCTTACCAACTGCATAGAGTCAGCCATGCTGGGAGGCCATGTTGGGTTGGCCATGTGGATCAGCCCCAGTTGCATCAGGTGACTCTGCAGTGTGCTGTGCTGAACCTTTGGCATTATCTCTAGCCCAGCATTCAACCTTAAGAACTGAAACCTGATCTGTTTACTTACTTGTCTAGCTTCTGGATTATAAACTACTGAGTTCTTCCTGTCTTGAACCTTCTGTCACAATTCTTGAAGGTGTTCATTAACTTTTTCTCTTAAAATGCTTATACATTTTTGATGAGGCATGTCAGTGAATGGCCTGACAAGTTTTAGAATGCCAACATGCTTTTCTCAGAATACATGACCTTCTCATGAATTTGCATATGACTTTCATATGAGAATTCCACAGAGAATCTAGTAACAGTTTACCTGTATATTATCAAAACATAGTTTGTCCTTAAACATTCTTTTATGTTTGTTTGTGTTATATTTGGCTCTTAATTAGCAGTTTGGCTAACAGCATGTAGATAGTTTTAGGGCAATTAGAAATAAGACTTAACTTTTCTAAAAAGAAATAAGACTTACTTAAATTTCTTAGAATTCTGTCGTAAATTTCTGTTTCAGAGGTGCTTTTAGAGGAAGTTTTGGTGGCTTTAGCTTACTATATATTTTTTCTTTTTTTCCTTCTTTTTTATTAATTTATTTTTTATAATCTAATCCCAGGTCCCCCTCCCTCCTTATCTCTCACTCCCTCCACTCCCCCACTCCCGTCTGCTTCCT